TTTCATTTATTTATTCTCGGGGATATTTCCCCTGACATAGGAAATGAACATACTAGGAGAAGGTAAACCAGAGGTTATTTTCCCACGGAGAAATGGAAAGGGATCTGTTGATTTCTTACTCAACTATTTAAAAAAAAAATGAACAAATGAAATTTTTATTATCCTTTTCACTACTATTGCTACAAGAAAACCTTCCTGATCCTTTAATATTTAGTCTATAATGTACAAGTTATCCTTCAGCAAATAAACAAAAATCCATTACAAAATAACTAAGTGTGAACTGGAGCTCTTCCTCCACTTCCTAATTTAAAAACTATGAAATACTTTTAACATTACATAATACTATCACTTACAGAAATTTTTGAAGGTGGTGTTATATCCAAAGAATAATCCATCTCCTGTGTGCTAAGAGTTCTGAGTGATAGTGAACATTCTCCAATGGTTTTCTTCCTGGGAGTCTGAGTTTGAATCTTAAACACAAGCCTTACTGTTTGTAGACTTTGGAGTTTAATAGCAAATACAAAAGTTTCCATAAATTCAATAACCTAAAAAAAAACACATATAATAAACATACAATAAATTTTTTAAAATTTATAAGCTGATACGCCTATACAAAATAAAAAAAAAATTCATAATCTAGGAAGGGTATATTTGTTTCATGACAACAAATATTTTTTAATGTAAATAAAAATGAGAATGGCCATAACTTGTTCTCCTAGAATTTATCCTGGATACTGTCTTTATTAATTTCACAAATCATCCTTTTAATTACTTAGTCACAAATTCAGGCCAAGATCAATACTAAGCTCACCAGAACATGGCTTTTAAAATTTATTTTTGCTTCTTGAAAATTAGAGGCTGTTTTCCCATCTTTGGTTTCCTATTCACCACAATTCTCCAACAGTCAGTAAGAGTGGTTCAAGAATCTCATATGCAAGCTCCCTCACTACCCCAAATCTAACTTGTTCATATTAAGAGACTTGAATTATTTCTGTAAAAGAGCTACTCTTTGTCTAACGTTCCCTCCGTCTATCTTAGGCTTCAAAACTTCTCTTTTTGTGCTTGTTCCACCTTTTCCAATTCAAAAGGAAAATAAGAGTTTAACATTCTACCTTCTCTCATAGATATCCACTCAGTGTTTTCCATGCTATGAACATTTTCAAATGTTCTTTTTCGTTACTTTTAATATTTTAAAGCCTTGGCTCACCATGAGCTGCCATCTTAACATGAGACAATTTTTTACAATATACTTCTTTCCATTTATAGTACTTCCTTTTTGAAAAGAAGCTTATTGGCAAGATATCTGAGCAACAAAAATCAGTATTTTGAATAAACCCAAAAAAAACCCCACTGCCGTCGAGTCGATTCTGACTCATAGTGACCCTATAAGACAGAGTAGAACTGCCCCACAGGATTTCCAAGGAGGACCTGATGGATTTGAACTGCTGACCTTTCAGTTAGCAGCTGTAGTTCTCAACCACTATGCCACCAGGGTTTTGACTATTCTGAAAAGTGCGCCTTAATTTTTACTTTTATTGTAATTGCTTATGTCTATACAGTCAGAATTGTGTTTCTGAATGCCTCATAACCACTTGAGCCACCTTTTACTTTCAGAGTCTCAAACCATAGGATCACACCAATAATACACTTAAAATGTTGAATTTTTAAACTTGGATGCACTGAGCTTACAAATGAAGGAAATGTGCTGGTTTACTCTGTATTCTCTGCATTTTGCCACAAGAGGAGTATCCCAAAGAAAAAGCAAATAAATTGATATAGAATCACAAATTTTAAAATAAAAGATTTCATACAAGTTTTAATGAGAACATTTTTCCCTAGTTAACTTAGTTTTATTTGAAAATCAAAAAGTGAAACTGTTTAAGAAAATTTAGGAAGCATTCATTGATGAGTGGCAGGATTATAACCAGAGTTAAGATTTATTTCCTTCTAGACTTTTTACGATACATATTTTCATAAAGTGAGACTAATATATATACACACACAATTGTGCTTATTGACTTTTTAACTTATTAAGAACATTGTCCATGTCCTTAAAAACTCTTCCTCAATATCATTTTTTCATGACTGTCTAATATTCCATCACATAGTACACTATGATTTTTTTCAACCATTCCCCATTTGAGCATTTAGATTATTTCTAACTTTCTACTATGAACAACACTGAGAAGAATATGCTTATATATATTTTATTTGCATTTCAGACTATTTCCATGGTATAGAAGCCAAGTAAAATTACTATTTCAAAAAGTATAAATATTTTAAGGTTTTGATATATATTGTCAAAATATTTTACAGAAAATGTTATGTTCTAGAGTACTTGGAAAATTTTTCCAGATTGTAATAAGCAAAAAAATTAGAAAGGAAGAAAGGAAAAGAAAAATATGTAATTTAAATTTGTATTTCTATGATTACTAAAATATTTTTTCATGTTTATTAGTTATTTGAATCGCCTGACTTTTAAATGATATATTCTTGTAGCTAATACCCTTTGATTCACATGGTAAACACCAACCCTTCAAACCCACATCAGAAGACAAAATGAACATGTATTTAACCTACATGTTTTACTAAATTAATGTGAAATCTGGAATTTATAAAACCAAACTCAGGATCATAAATCTTCTAGTTATAGTAATTGTAAGTATTTAAAAGAAATTAATTGTAATCAGGCAAATATTTCTCAAGGCAATAGTAGGAGGGTGGGAGAGATAAAAATATAGACACTTATCTTCCTTTCATACAAGAAAAGTGAAAGTTTTCTTAGAGACTATCTTTTATACAGTTTAGTGATTTAGATTTTCTTTTTAAATGTATCTCAATATTTGACACTGAAATATCAAATTTTCTGAGACTCAAAATTGTCTTTAAGAGCACAGGGTACATAATTTGTAGTTTCCCAAAAATAAAACACTTTCTTGTTACAATTATTTTACATGAGTAAAAGTGACAAATATGAGAAAAACAGAAAAAGAAATTTAAACACAAACATCAGCCACTTACATTGGAGCCTTCTTTAGCTGAAGACTTGAAATGCACTGGTTTGGGCAAAGTTAATATTCCTTTTACAGAAATAGTAGGAGTGTCTCCATAACTAGAGGGCCAACTTAAATCTTTGCACTAAAAAAATTGAAGATACAGTTTGAACTTTAGAAAAAACTCTGACATTACAAATATTTGATACATTTCTTGAGTTAATGACTAGAAAAAAATGATAAAAGTAAACTTTAGTCTACTGAGACCCGTTGTTTCATCCACATTAAAATAATCCGAAGTATAGTATTACAGGCATCATATCAATTTCCCTTTCACAGTAAAATCACCCACACTTTCATCATACATACAGGTTTATTTTCTTTTGATGCTTTATTAAGTATTATTTTCTGCAAAATATTATACAGCTCTAAATTCCAAAAACGTATTAGCCCGTTCTCCATAAGAGAGCAACAATAGACGCTTATAATGTTTAAATAGGCAATTTTATAAGAAAAGTCAGTATTAACTATATCGATTTACCTGTAAAACTGTAATCCAGATCTGCTCTACTGCAGAATTATAAAACAATTTCACATTCAATCTCCCAAACTCTTTTTCATCTCCTGATAGAGTAATTGTATCTGAATTGTAAAAGGACAAAGATGTTTGCAACATCATACAATCCTAACTCGTTAAGCTTTGATACAATCCAGTTTTAAGAGCACAATTAAAAAATGCTATTTTAAAAACTTTACTTATTTTGTTGTTGTTGAGAATATATACAGCAAAACACATACCAATTCAACAGTTTCTACGTGTATAATTCAGTGACATTGATTACGTTCTTTGAGTTGTGCAACCATCCTCAACCTCCTTTTCTGAGTAGTTTCTCCCTCATTAACATAAACTATTGCCTCTAAGTTTCCTCTCAAATCTTTCGAATTGCTGCTGTCAGTTGGATCCCATATAGATAGTTCTTAAAAGAGCATAATGCTCAAGGCACACACTTTTTTGCTAGTTAAGTTAAACTATTGTTTGGGTTTAAGATGACTTCAGGAGATATTTTTGGTTTAAGGTTTAAGATGATCTCAGGGCAATAATTTCAGCAGTTCATCCAGCCTCCATGGCTCCAGAAAGTCTGGAGTCCGTGAGAATTTGAAATTCTGTTCTGCATTTTTTCCGCTTTTGATCATGATTCTTCTACAGAATCTTTGATATAAATGTTCAGTAATGGTAGTCGGGTACCCTCCAGTTCTTCTGGTCTCATGGCAAAAGAGGCAGTTGTTCATGGAGGCAATTAGCCACACATTCCAGAAAAATGCTACTATTTCTTAAAGTTGCCATTTAATAAGACACCATCACATTTTTATGTTTTTATTGAAAGCAGGAGGTTTGAAAATTTAATCTTGGCTTGAATGTCAGTATGATGGATTTAAATTCAAACTAAAAAAAACATTTCCAAATAACATTTATAACACCTTAATACTGTACGCTTCTGGAAGTTCTTTCACTGATATACTTACTTTAAAGTAAACAAACAAAAGATATCTAATTTCCTCACCATTTTTTAAAAGATGCATTCATGCCTAAACACTGAGAAATGGACCATATGATCTGAGTATCTATATGCTGCTAACACTGCCAACGTATATAATATCACCTAGAGTCTTTTTCACCTGACATATACTACAATATATTGTTCGGTAGAAAAAATTTCCTTAAGCAGAAAATATAGAATACTTTATTCTTTACCCAGGCTTCTGTTACTCCCCTGAGAATTTTTCCTTGAAGAACAACTACTGGGTACACTGGATGATGAATCGTATCTCTAAAAATAAAATTATTTAGTCAGAGATTGCACATCAAACTTTAAGGATTCTCATACTTATACCAGTCCCCTATACAGACACTAATGACACCTTTGAATTACGGTGTTGGTGAAGAATATTGAATACACCACGGAATGCCAGAAGAACGAACAAATCTGTCTTGCAAGAAGTACAACCAGAATACTCCTGACTTACATACTTTGGACGTGTTATAAGGAAGGATCAGTCCCTGGAGAAGGACATCATGCTTGGTAAAGTGGAGGGTCAGTGAAAAAGAGGAAGACCCTCAACAAAATAGATGGACACAGTGCCTCCAACAATGAGCTCAAGTATAGCAAAGACTGTGAGGATGGCAGAGGACCAGGCAGTGTTTCGTTCGGTTGTACATGGGGTTGCTAGGGGGTCGGAACTGACTCCACAGCACCTAACAACAACAACAACAACACTCATCCTAGTATCAAAGTGCATGCTAACCATTTTGACAGTGTTACCAGTCAGAATTTCCCACTTCTGGAGAGTAAAAAGGAAAAAAGCTTTGTGTGTGTGTAGTTTATCAGGAAAAGTCTTAAATATCTTACTAGATAATATATGTGAAAACCTTTGCTGTTTTTGGTTTGGTTTTGTAGAAAGGAAAAAGAGATTCCTTGAAACCAAACCAAAACCAAACCCCTTGCCCTCGATTCCAACTCATAGCAACCCTATAGGACAGAGTAGAACTGCCCCATAGTGTTTCCAAGGAGTGGATAGTGGATTCGAACTGCCAACCTTTTGGTTAACAGCTGAGCTCTTAACTACTGTGCCATCAGGCTCCTCATACTTGAAAGTACTAATGAAAACCAGAATATATTTGGAAGTGCCCTTTGACCTAAAAATCTGTAAAGCAGCATTTCTCAATGTGAGGCCCCTTTGGATCAGCAGCATCAGCATCACCTGGGAACTTGTCAGAAATGCAAACTCTCACGCCTGCCATAGAGCTACTGAGAAACTTTAGGACTAAGGCTTGTATTTTGACAAGCTCACCAAATGACTCTAATGCACGTTAAAGAACTGGTACTATAAAGAATTAAATCCTAAAAAAAATTAACTCGATTAAGGATGATTTCTTTATTTAGAATACATTTTCATTTTTATAAAATTTAAGTATATATATTCACATTGAAAAAAGTCCACAAGTGTTTATAACAAATATGTTGAAAGTGCTTTTTCTCTTAGTTATAGGAATATAGGTCATTTTTCCTTTGTTTATCTCTATTTTCCAGTTTTTAAATAATGGTTGTTATTGTTGTTAGGTGCCACTGAGCCACTTCCAACTCATAGCAACCCTATGTACGACAGAATGAAACGCTGCCCAGTCCTCAGCCATTCGTCCTGATAACATGCCCAAAGTACGTAAGACAAGGTCTCGTCATCCTTGCTTCTAAGGAGAACTCTGGCTGTACTTCTTCCAAAACAGATCTGTTCATTATTTTGGTAGTCCATGGTATATTCAATATTCTTTGCCAACACCATAATTCAAAGGTGTCAGTTCGTCTTCGGTCTTCCTTACTCATTCTCTAGCTTTTGCATGCATATGAGGCAATTGAAAACACCATGACTTGGATCAGATTACTTGCATTAAAAAAGAAATATTTTTTTTAAATATCAAAAAATCCTGTCTATTTTAAAAATGGGAGGACATTGTGCTAATATTAATGAGTAATTAAAGTTCTTATATCTCAATGAAAATAGTAATTTTTAATAATGAGATAGTTACATTCAATAAGCAAAGTTAAAACAGTAAGAGCTTTTAACTATACAATTTTAAATTCCTGTCTCAGGCTTCCCTAAGTGCACACCAACTGAGAGATGTAAATTCATAAAAAAAGGACAAAAAAAATTAATGCTTTTAGTAGTCACCTGTGAGCTTCCTAAAACAATTCATACAGGAATAACCAAGTGTTTATTCTTCAGACATTAAAATAGATACACCGACAAAAGGTATTTAACATGTTGTTCCTAATATAAATCGCACATTTCTGAATTTTTCACTTGAAAATAAACTATTACATACAGTTAAATATATATAAATAATTTACCTGGATGAATCGCTGAGATGAACTTGTAAGATCAAACATAGATTTGCTCAGCCCAGGGGAACCAGGAAGTTTATGGGTCCTTAAATCACAAACTACAAAGTGACGTGAGAAAATTACTAATTTTGATAGTAAAGAAGAAACGTTGGAATTCTACTTAATTACTATGAATTAATATAATTGCTATAGGTATACACCATGAATATTATGTACAAATCTATTTAATAGGTACAGCCTTACGATGGACTTTTTTTTCAATTATTTTGTTTGAGACAGAAACCAACACAAACAATAGATTGTCACATTCACATCAAATATCAAAGAACAAAATATATTCTTTTTTGCTTCCCTTCTCCAATTCTTCATCCAAGGAGAATAATCTAAAGGGATGTAATCATCTGTGCTAAATGCAATTCAACTACTATTTAAAGAGAACTTATTACATAAACAAATCAATACTAAACGCCATGCATTGCTATATTTCTAGTTTCCCTCCTAAACTGTAAGCTTTTTGAAGAATGGGACTCTGTATACTAACTGTGATCGTAGCACAGTACTGAGCACAGGCAGGCCCGTAAATAAATATTTCTTCTTTAAGAACTCACCCTAATTCAGTGTTTGAGACAGCTATGTGTATCACATAACAGAAAAACAGTGAAAATCTTGTAAATCAGGTATGTGCAAGGTATTGATATAGTCTCGAATATGAAACTAAAAAAGTTGTATACTCATTTAGGCATTTTCATTTTCTTTGCTTACATTTCTAATCATATACTGGGTTTCTAAATTTATTATTTTCATTGACTAGAAAAGAAAAAATCTAGTAAATGTCCGTTATAGAATTAATGACTGAATAGATGACATAAAATGTATACACAATAATCTGAAAACAAAACTTTTTTCAAAAAATAAAATGGGATTTGGAACTACCAAAATAAATCCATTAACCTCTCAATTTTATACTGGATATAACACCACAGAGAAGTCATGATGTTTATCACATCACTTCTAAAGCCTGCTTTTCTCTTTTTTTAAAATGCCTTTATCAGTAAGAATAATTTCTTCCAGAAGCTTATATTTAATTTGATTTCTAAATTTGTTAAAGAGAAACACAAAGAGGAAAAGCACAAAAAAATGTTCATACCTGATCCATATAGTCTTATCGCTTCTGAGTGAGGAGGAAAGCGTCGACACAAATCAGGTGACATGTGCTGATACATATAGAATGGGTTGTATACATCATAGCTAGGGCCATGCTGGGATGAACTGGAAAGTTCTACCTTTCGATCTCCAAAAGATGCTCTGGCAGATCCTGCAAGGCAAGTGTTTCTAATGTTTTACAACATCCTTTTCTTGGCGTTATTAGCCAAAAGCTGGTGCTCCCAAGGCAAATAAAAAATTTTTTGGTCTCAAGTGCTATAAAATCACATAGCTTTGGCATCTAAAAAATCAACACACATTTACTGAGCTCTAACTGTGCCAAGTATTATGCCCGGAATCAGCCATGAACCCTGCTCTAAAACAGTCTAATAAATTGTAGGTATTTTTCTTTGCCCCATAGATTACTCCATCCTTTCTGATCTAGTTTTACTTTTATTTTTCTATTTATATAAAGGACATCTTTTAAATAAAAATATGGGAGGGGAGAGATACACTCTTTGCAAGCAGACACAGTATATTTATAAAACTTGACCACACGCTGGGATCCACAGAGCAAGTCTCAATAAATCTGAAATGACTGAAATCATAGTGTGTTCTCCGAGCACAATGCAATTAAGTTAGAAGTCAAAGAACCAAAAAGATGAATAGAATGTTTACATGGTAATGCAAAGAACCAAGAATAACAACAACAAAAATCTTTAAGAGGACAAGATGGAAAGATTTGCTCTACTGGGTATTAAGACTTATTACAGAGCCACAGAATATTGGCACAATGACAGAAAAACAGACCAACAGAATAGAAGACCAAGAGAGAGAATCACGTATTTATGAGGATTTCATTTACAACAAAGGTGGCACTGCACAGCAGTGGGAAAACGATAGTCTTTTCAATAAAAGATAGTAGGACAATTGGTATCTATATGAAAAAAAAAAAAACTTTTGCTAGATCTTACATATACTCAAAAGAATTGATTCCAAGTGGATTTTAGATCTAAATTAAATATTAAAGGCAAACCAATAAAGCTTCTAAATTTAAGTCAACTTACAAGAACTCTTTCACGACCTTAGACAGGGAAATGCTCCTTAAACGGGACACAGAAAGCACTAACTACAACAAAATTAAAAATTTCCATTTTCTCAAAAGACACAATTTAAGAGAGTGAAAAAGTAATCCACAGAGTGGGAGAAGGTATTTGCAACAAATAAAACTAACAAAGGGCTCGCATCCAGAATATATAAAGAACTCCTACAAATCAATAAGAAAAACACAAGCCAAAAAATATATATAGGCAAAAGACTTCAGCACTTCAGAAGAAAGGCTATCCAAATAGCCAATAAACATGACCTGGTGCTCAATCTCATTAGTCATGAGGGAAATGCAAGTTAAAACCCCAATAAGATACCACTATACAGGCAGTCCTGGTTTACGAACAAGATCAATTCCTAAAGTATGTCTTTAAGAATTTGTAGGTAAGTCGGAACAGGTGCATACGATTCTTATTTACCCTTACTTTAGTGCAAGAAAAGGCTTGAAGCCTTTTCAATGATTTAAAAGCCGCACATGCAGCAAGTGAAAGTGATTGTGATGAAGAATTTGTTGCAAGCAGGGGTTGGTTCAATTGTTTCAAAGTGAGGGTAAATTTACATAACATTAAAGGTCAAGTACAAGTTGTCCATGAGTCGGAAGTCTGCAACCTGAGAACTTACCGTACACTCATAAGAATGGTTAAAATTAAAAGACCGAAAATAGCAAGCATTGGTAAAAAAGTAGAGCAACATGCACTCTGCTGGCAGGAATGTAAATTGATAAATCACTGTAAAAAGGAGCAGCAATTTCTACTAAACCTGAAGATAATTATACCACATGGCCCAGCATACTGATTGCATGTTTAATCAATTTTAGACAGAAGTTTGTAAAAATCTTCAATTTCTTCATCTTTGGCATAAGTGGTTGGTGTGTAAATTTGAATAATAGTTGTATTAACTGGTCTTTCTTGTATGTGTATGGATATTATCCTATCACTGACAGCTTTGTACTTCAGGACAGATCTTGAAATGTTTTTGACAAGGAATCCGACGCCATTCCTCTTCAATTTGTCATGCCCAGCAGAGTAGACCATATGATTGTCCGATTCAAAATGGCCAATATCAGTCAGCTCATTCCAGCTCACTAATGCCTAGGATATCCATCTTTATGTTTCATTTCATTTTAGACAACTTCCAATGTTCCTAGATTCATACTTCGTACATTCCATGTTCTGATTATTAATGGCTATTTGCAGCTGTTTCTTCTCATTTTGAGTTGTGCCACATCAACAAATGGAGGTCCCGGAAGCTTTACTCCATCTACGTTAAGGTCAACTCTACTCGGAGGTGGCAACTATTCCCCAGCTGTATTTTGAGTGCCTTCCTACCTGAGGGGCTCATCTTCCGGCACCACGTCAGACAATGTTCCACTGCGATTTATAAGGTTTTCATTGGCCAATATTTTAAGAAATAGATTGCCAGGTCCTTCTTCCTAGTCTGTCTTAGTCTGGAAGCTCCACTGAAATCTGTTCACCATGGATGACCCTGCTGGTTGATATTTGAAATACCAGTGGCATAGCTTCCAGCATCACAGCAACATGCAAGCCAACACAGTACAATGAACTGACAGAAGAGAAATTACTGGTGATCGGAATGTGAATGTTGGAAACAAAGAGGAAGGATCTTTGGTAACAAAAATAATGCCAAAGATCATATAATAGAATTTTGCAAGACCAATGACCTATTCATTGGACATACCTTTTTTCAACAACATAAACAGTGACTATACATGTGGACCTCACCAGATGGAATACACAGAAATCAAATCAACTACATCTGTGGAAAGATATGACAGAGGCTCAATATCATCAGTCAGAACAAGGCCAGGAACACACTATCAATTGCTCATGTGAAAGTTCAAGCTGAAGTTGAACAAAATCAGAACAAGTTCACGAAAGCCAAAGTATGACCTTGAGTATAGTTCACCTGAATTTAGATACCACTTCAAGAACTGGTTTGATGCACTGAACACTAATGACCAAAGACCAGACAAGTTGTGGGATGACATCAAGGATATCATACATGAAGAAAGCAAAAGGCTATTAAAAAGACAGGAAAGAAAGGACCAAAGTGGATATCAGAAGAAACTGAAAGTTGCTCTTGAACACAGAATAGCTAAAGTGAAAGGAAGAAATGATAAAGTAAAAGAGGTGAACAGAAGATTGCAAAGGGGGCTTGAGAAGACAAAGTAAAGTATTATAATGAAATGTGCAAAGACCTGGAGATAGAAAACCAAAAGGGAAGAACACTCTCTGCATTTCTCAAGCTGAAGAACTGAAGAAAAGATTCAAGCCTCAAGTTGCAATATGGAAAGATTCCATTGGCAAAATATTGAACAATGCAGGAAGCATCAAAAGATGATGGAAGGAATACACAAAGTCACTGTACTAAAAAGAACTGGTCAACGTTCAACCATTTCAGGAGGTAGCATATGATCAAGAACCGAAGGTATTGAAGAAAGAAGTCCAAGCTGCACTGAAGCCACTAGTGAAATACAAATCTCCAGGAAATTATGGAATACCAGTTGAGATGTTTCAACAAACGGATGCAGCGCTGGAAGCGCTCACTCATCTATACCAAGAAATGTGGAAGACAGCTACCTGGCCAACTGACTGGAAGAGATCCATATTTGTATCCATTCCAAAGAAAGGTGATCCAACAAAATGCAGAAATTATCAAACAATATCATTAATATCACATGCAAGTAAAATTTTGCCGAAGATAATTAAAAAATGGTTGCAGCAGTCCATCAACAGGGAACTGCCAGAAATTCAAGCCAGATTCAGAAGAAGACTTGGAACAAAGGATATCATTGCTGATGTCAGATGAATCTTGGATGAAAGCAGAGAATACCAGAGAGATGTTTACCTGTGTTTTATTGACTATGCAAAGGCATTAAACTGTGTGGATCATAATAAATTATGGATAACATTGTAAAGAGCAGGAATTCCAGAATACTTAATTGTGCTCATGAGGAACCTGTACATAGACTAAGAAACAGTCATTCGAACAGAACAAGGGGATACTGTGTGGTTTAAAGTCAGGATAGGTGTGTGTCAAGGTTGTATCCTTTCACCATACTTATTCAGTCTGTATGCTGAACAAATAATCTGAGAAACTGGACTATATGAAGAAGAATGCAGTATCAGGATTGGAGGAAGACTCACTAACAACCTGCATTATGCAGATGACACAACCTTGCTTGCTGAAAGTGAAGAGGACTTGAAGCACTTACTGATGAAGATCAAAGACTACAGCCTTCAGTATGGATTACACTTCAACATAAAGAAAACAAAAATCCTCACAACTGGACCAATAAGCAACATCATAAAATGGAGAAAATTCTGAAGTTGTCAACAATTTCATTTTACTTGGATCCACAATCAATGCCCATGGAAGCAGCAGTCAAGAAATCAAATGATACATTGCATTTGGCAAATCTGCTGCAGAAGACCTCTTTATAGTGTTAAAAAGCACAGATGTCACTTTGAGGACTAAGGTGTGCCTGACTCTAGCCATGGTATTTTAAATCGCTTTATATGCATGCAAAAGCTGGACAATGAATAAGGAAGACCGAAGAATAACTGACACCTTTGAATTATGGTGTTGGTGAAGAATACTGAATATACCATGGATTGCTAGAAGAACGAACAAATCTGTCTTGGAAGAAGTACAGCCAGAATGCTCCTTAGAAGCAAAGGTGGTGAGACTTTGCCTCCGTGTACTTTGGACATGTTATCCAGAGGGACCAGTCCCTGGAGAAGGGCATCATGCTTGGTTGAGTTCAGCAGCAACTAGAAATATTAGATAGGAACCTTAGCGGCAATGAGTTTATGTTAATGGAGGAGGGAGAACTCAAAGAAGGAGGGTGAAAATGGTTGCATAACTCGAAGAGTGTAATCAATCTCACTGAACTGTACATGTAGAAATGGTTGAATTGGTATAAGTTTTGCTGTGTATATTCTCAACACCAACAAGTTTTTAAAATACTGCATATTAAGTTCATTTACAGAAACAGCAAAATACAAAATTTTACATACATTTATATAAATGTTGTGGGAGAAAGATGTGGCAGTCTGTTTTCATAAAGATGTACAGCCTTGGAAACCCTACGGGACAGTTCTACTATGTCATAAACGGTTGCTATGAGTTGGAATCAGCTGGATGGTACTGGGTTTTGGAATATAAATTTTATTTTAAAAAAAATACAATAGTATTTAAATACCATGTGTTGATTTTTATATTCTGCCATTTTGTTGTTTACCTTCAAGTTCTTCCAGATGTGAAGGAGTTGCTTGTGTCCTTGGTTGAATATAAGATAACTTAAACCTGGGCACCACAAATGGTACCTCTTTGCCATCAGATGGTAATTTTGAAAGTAAATAATCCTCAGTGCAGCCAACCTGAGGCTTTACAGAAATAGAAGTCACTGGAGGTATAGAAATAGCAGTATTCTGGCTACTTGAGACTGCTGCTTTCAAGTCTCTTTCCACGGAAACTGCATATAAAGAAAGAAAGAAAAAAAAAGAAAAGAGTGACAAATATGCATGGGGATTTACATATAACAATCCAAATCCAACATGTTTTGGTACTTATTTAAGAAATTCCTGATCCATAAAGTACTCTTGGGTCCTATCAAGCACTTCTGGAATCCACATTAATTCTCTCTAGCCAATATTCCAGCAATTAATACATTACTGCCAAAGTACGTTAGGTTATCATAATGCTAAAAGCAGTTTGTTAAGAGTCTCATTCCCAGAAAACAGTTCATAGATGGAAAACAAGCTTATTTTATAGTTAATTCCAAAATGCTTTGAAGTAAACTCTAAACTCATTACCGTCAAGTCAATTCTGACTCATAGCGACCCTATAGGACAGGGTAGAACTGCTCCATAGGGTTTCCAAGGCTGTAATCTTTACTGGAGCAGACTGCCACATCTTTCTCCCATGGAACTGCTGACTTTTCGGTTGGCAGTCAAGTGCTTTAACCACTGTACCACCAGGGCTCCTTTAAATAAACTCTAAACCCAAAAACCAAAACTGTTGTCGTTGAGTTGATTCCAACTCATGACGACCCTATAGACAGAGTAGAACTGCCCCATATAGTTTCCAAGTAGCGGCTGGTAGACTGAACTTCTGACCATTTGGTTGGCAGCTGTAGCTCTTAACTACTACACCACCAGGGCCCCAAATAAACTCTAGTCACTTAACAATACTGTAAACAAAGTACTTCTTGTTGTCAGTACTACTGTTTAACATCAGTTTTAAATACTTTAATAAAGTAATCGTTAAAAGAACTCTTAAAAGGTCTCCAAGTCTACAAAAATCCTTACCAAATCATAAAATATACATTGACCCTAGATATACACCAGAATAGCAACTCTCCTTGTCCAAGCTTCTATGACCGATTTTATTAGTCTCACAAGATATGTTATTTCTAAGTTGCTGGACTTAAGATATGAGGTATAGGCCACCCAGAGTTAATCTTTATATATATTTAGTATTGTCTATAGACAGCCCTGGTGGTGCAGTAATTAATTGTTCAGCTGTTAACCAAAAGGTCAGCAGTTCAAATCCACCAGCCGCTCCTTGGAAGCCCTATAGGGCAGTTCTACTCTGTCCTATAGGGTTGCTATGAGTCAGAATCGACCTGATGGCAACAGGTTTCGTTTTGGTTTTATAGACTGAATACAAGTACAACACTATTGTGTATGATTTTTATGATATGTTTTAATGTTAAAAAAGGAATACAAACAAACAAAAAAAGGCTTCATACACAAATATACTAGGAAGCACTGCTCTAGACTAAGAAATACAAGAAACAGCCAGAGAAAAACAGAATCCCAGTCAACCCTGAAGAAATCAGGAAACCACACAACAGAAAGGGAAATTTCCAGAGGTCTTTGATAAATGTGGGCCTTGATAAAGTTATGGGTCCTTTCTTTCCCTGTTGATCATTTGTTTATGAAGGGCAATTTTGAATGCACTGTCATAAACTAAAAAATGTCTCTATTTAAATTGAAACACTGCCAGAGTATCTTGTCCCCCACTTTTCCTTTTCTCCCTGGCTTTGTACTATTCCCTCCACTAAGAATGCCTGTGTCCAACTCTCACCTTCTCTTCCTTCCTTCTTCCCACTCAACTTCCTAAAATTCTGTTCAGACTTCCATGCCAAATGCTTTCTTCTTTGTGGCAATGTCTCAAGGTTGAATTTATCTCTCTCCCTAATGTTCCAGGATATCTGGAGTATTGGAATACTTAACCTGGTATGCCTTATGTTTATGTGTCAGCCCCCTCATGATTTTATAAATCCCTTGACATTAGGAAATATGCCTCGTATTTTTTTAAATACCACAAAGAAGGTACTAAATAAATGTTTCTTGAAGTAAAAGCAAAACAAAACTCACAGTTGTGCTTTTCTGTTTCACCATAGAAACATCCTCTACAGCAACTCTTTATAAATTCTGTTGCCATTACATTCAATTTCCAAAATCCAGCAAAAGATACAAACTTCCAATTTTAACATTAATCTGTTGGTAAGACAGAAAACAAATTTAAAATGATTATGCTTAATGCCAGTAGATATCACTAAATAAATCATATTATTGGTCTTTCTAAAACATAGTGAGGGCTCTGAAGCCAGAAGGTTGAAAAGCAAGATAAAGTAATATATTCTCTTTTTTGTTCCCATATGCCGTCTTGTAGCATGTAGTCTCCTTATGAATTATTAAAATTATAAGCTTTAAAAATCACCAAATGAATAATATCAATGCTAAATATATAAAAAAAGAAAAATCTGACTCTCAACTTTCTTTTTAGCCTGGACAACCTAAACCTATGTCCAAAGAAAATATGGCCCTGATAAAAAGTATGATATAAATTTTACTTCCACCAGATCAATTCTTATGGTAATCCAAAGGTCCTATAATGGAGACCAATAAACAAATAACTTCACATTGTATGAGTTAGTTTAATCCTTAGAATTACACTAACAGAAAAATATATCTTAAACACTGTATCACACATACACAAAGACACTGGCTAAACAAACCACAAATAAGATATAGTGCAAATATAGGCAATCTGTTCTAAATTCACTAGGACCATAAAATTGTACAAAAATTTCACATCCAATTAACACATAATGCAATTTTCCACCTTGGACTCAATGGTTTTGCTCCAAATGCATTCTCTTCATTCTTGCCTACTTAAACCCTATATATATACATTTTTTAATATTTTCTTCTGAAAGAAAAGTTATATATTTTTTTACAATTCAACTTTTTACATGTCTACAATTTATTGAGAGCAATTACAATAATTGGCTGTGCAACCCTACCCTTAATTAATGCAATTTTTCTATCACAGTTAACTCCCTTTTACCCCCTCCCACCTGCCCATTAACTCCTAATAAACTTTGTTCTCTATACATTTGCCTTTTCTTGTCTTTTTATATAAGTGAGGTCATACAGTATTTGTCCTTTTGTGATGGCTTATTTTGCACAGCGTAATGTCTTCAAGCTCCATCTATATTGTAGCATCTATCAAGACTTCATTTCTCCTACTGGCTGAGTAGTATTCCATTGTATGTATACATTGTTGTCATTGTTGTTAACTGCTGCCAAGTTGGTTCCGACTCATAGCAACTCTAGGTACAACAGAATGAAACACTGTGAGGATGGTCCAATAAATATTTTAGGCTTTCGGGGGCTAAGATGCAAAATTGAGGACCAATATTATGTAGATACTTATACAATAAGGGGGTGTCTGGGTGGTGCAAATGGTTAACGTGCTTAGCTGCTAACCAAGGCTGGAGATTTGAGTCCACCCAGAGATGCCTCAGAAAAAAACCCGACGATCTACTTCTGAAAAATCAGCCATTGAAAACTCTTTGAGCACAGTTCTACTCTGACACACATGGGGTCACCACAAGTCAGAATCGACTCAACAGCAACAGGTTTCTGCTTTATACAGACAACTCCTGTCCCACCTTACCACATTTGCCTTGGGTGGGCATCCAGGGTGGTGTGTATGCTTTGTGTCCAGTTGCCATCAGCTGTAGACATTCTCAAGACAATCTGTAACCATAATTGGTTGACTATTCATATTTTCTTGAGTCCATTTTTGACTTTTTCTAAGCTCTATTTTCTGTCAGTTTATTGTACTGTGTTGGCTTGCATGTTGCTGTGATGCTGGAAGCTATGCCACCAGTATTTCAAATGCTAGCAGAGTCACCCATGGTGGACAGGTTTCAGCTGAGCTTCCAGACTAAGACAGACGTGGAAGAAGGACCTGGAGGTCTACTTCTGAAAAAAATTGGCCAGTGAAAACTTTATGAATAGCAGGGGAACACTGTCTGATATAGTGTCGGAAGATGAGTCCTTCAGGTTGAAGACACTCAAAATACAACTGAGGAAGAGCTGCCTCCTCAAAATAGAGTTGACCTTAATGATGTGGATGGAGTCAAGCTTCTAGGACCTTAATTTGCTGATGTGACATGATTCAAAAGGAGAAGAAACAGCTGCAAAAATCCATTAATAATTGGAACACTAGATGTACAAAGTTTGAAACTAGGAATATTGGAAGTCATCAAAAATGAAAGAGAATGCATAAAGATTGATATCCTAGGAATTACTGAGCTGAAATGAACTGGTATTGGCCATTTTAAATTGGACAATCATATGGTTTACTATGTGAGGAATGACAGGAAAGATGTCACATTTATCATCAAAAAGAACATTTCAAGATTTACCCTGAAGTAGAATGCTGTCAGTGATAGGACAATATCCATATGCCTATAAGGCAGACCAGTTAATACAACTATTAGTCAAATTTACACACCAACCACCAATGCCAAAGGTGAAGAAATTGAAGATTTTTACCAACTTCTGCAGCCTGAAATTGATCAAACATGCAATCAAGATGCATTGATAATTACTGGTGATTGGAATGTGAAAGTTGGGAACAAAAGGGAAGGATCAGTAGTTGGAAAATATGGTCTTGGTGATAGAAATGACGTCAGAGATCGCATGATAGAATTTTGTAAGACTAATGACTTATTCATTGCAAGTGCTTCTTTTCAACAACATAAATGGTGACTATACATGTAAACTTCACCAGATGGAATACACAGGAATCAAACTGACTACATTTGTGGAAAGAGACCACAGAGAAGCTCAACATCATCAGTCAGAACAAGCCCAGGGGCCGACTATGAAACAGACCATCAATTGCTCATATGCAAGTTCAAGACGAAGCTGAAGAAAATTAAAACAAGTCTATGAGAGCCAAAATACAATCTGAGTATATGCCACCTGAATTTAGAGACCATCTCAAGAATAGATTTGATGCACTGAACACTAATGGCCGAAGACCAGACGAGCTGTGGAATGACATCAAGGTTATCATATATGAAGAAAGCAAGAGGTCATTAAAAAGACAGGAAAGAAAGAAAACACCAAAATGGACGTCAGAAGAGACTCTGAAAGTTGCTCTTGAACAGAGTAGCTAAAGCAAATGGAAGAAATGATGAAGTAAAAGGGCTGAACAGAAGATTTCAAAGGGCAGCTCCAGAAGACAAAGTATATAATGAAATGTGAAAAGACCTGTAGTTAGAAAAACAAGGGGGAAGAACAGGCTCAGCATTTCTCAAGCTGAAAGAACTGAAGAAAAAATGCAAGCCTGAAGTTGCAATATTGAAGGATTCTACCCAGAAAATACTGAACGATTCAAAAGTATCAAAGGAAGATGGAAGGAATACAGAGTCACTGTACCAAAAAGAATTGGTCGATGTTCAACCATTTCAGGAGGCAGTATATAGTCAAGAACTGATGGTACTGAAGGAAGAAGTCCAAGCTGCACTGAAGGCACTGGCAAAAAACAAAGCTCCAGAAATTGACAAAATACCAATTGAGATGTTTCAACAAGTGGATGCAGTGCTGGAAACGCTCACTTGTCTACGCCAAGAAATTTGGAAGACAGCTACCTGGTCAACCGAATAGAATAGATCCATTTGTGCCCATTCCAAAGAAATGTGATCAAATAGAATGCGGGTAATATCAAACAATATCATTAACATCACACACAAGTAAAATTTTGCTGAAGATCAATCAAAAACGGCTGCAGTAGTCCAACAACAGGGAACTGCTAGAAATTCAAGCCAGATTCAGAAGAGGACACTGAAAGAGGGATATCACTGCTGATGTCCGATAGACCTTGGGTGAAAGCAGAGAATACCAGAAAGATGTTTACCTACGCTTTATTGACTATGCAAAGGCACTCGACTATGTGAATCATAACAAATTACAGATAACACTGCGAAGAATGGGAATTCCAGAGCACTTAATCGTGTTCATAAGAAACCTGTCCATAGACCAAGAGGCAGTTGGTCAAACAGAACAAGAGGATACTGCGATCATTTAAAGTCAGGAAAGGTGTGCATCAGGGTTGTATCATTTCACCATTCTTATCCAATCTGTATGCAGAGGAAATAATCCAAGATGCTGGACTATATGCAGAAGAATGTGGCATCAGAATTGGAGGAAGACTCATTAATCACCTGCAATATGCAGATGACACAAGCTTGCTTGCTGAAAGTGAAGTGGACTTGAAGCATTTACTGATGAAGATCAAAGACTTTAGCCTTCAGTATGGATTGCACCTCAACACAAAGAAAACAACAATCCTCATAACTGGACCAACAAGCAACATCATAATAAACAGAGAAAATACTGAAGTTGTCAAGGATTTCATTTTACTTGGATCCACAATCAATGCCCATGGAAGCAGCAGTCAAGAAATCAAACAACGTACTGCATTGGGCAAATCTGCACAAAAGACCTCTTTAAAGTGTTAAAAAGCAAAGATGTCACTTTGAGGACTAAGGTGAGCCTGACCCGAGCCATTGTATTTTCAATCACCTCATACACATGTGAAAGCTGGACAATGAATAAGGAAGACCAAAGAATAACTGATGCCTTTGAATTAGGGTGTTGGCGAAGAACATTAAATATACCATGGACTGCCAGAAAAACAAACAAATCTGTCTTGGAAGAAGTACAGCCAGAATGCTTCTTAGAAGCAAGGATGGCAAGAGTTCATCTCATGTACTTTGGACATGTTATCCAGAAGGACCAGTTCCTGGAGAAGGACATCATGCTCGGTAAAGTAGAGGGTCAGCGAAATAAAGGACGGACCCTCAATGAGAAGGATTGACACAGTGACTTCAACAATGGGCTCAAGCATAACAATAATTGTGATGATGGTGCAGGACCAGGCAGCGTTTTGTTCTATTGTACACAGGGTCACTATGAGTCTTAACTGACTTGACGGCACCTAACAACAACATAATTCTAGAAATTTGTCCCATTTGTCTTAATTTTAAAATTTGCTGTCATTTATTTGTTCACAGTAATCTTGTCATTATCTTTGTAACGGCTTTAGCTTCTGTAGTTCTGCCGCTTTTCATTCCTAATATGTGTTATCAGTGCTCCCTTTTTGACATAATCTCATCATACACTTGTCAGTTTTATTAGCCTTTTCAAAGAACTAACTTTTAGCTTTTGGAGCTGTTCAACTATATGTTTGTTTTGTTTCATAGATTTTTTATTATTAATTCCTTCCTCATGTAGTACTTTTTACAAGGTTTACTTACTATTATTTTTCTAGCTTCTTGAAACAGATGCTTAGCTCATTATCTTCTGGCCTTTCTTCTTTCTAATATATGCATTTAAGTCTATAAATTTCCCTCTGCATATTACTTTAGCTGTACCCTGTCCCCAATTTTGATATGTAGTATTTGTGTTATTCTTTAGTTCAAAATATTTTCTAATTTCCAGTAATTATCTCTTTATTACTAATTTCTAGCTTAACTGTACTGCGGTGATACAACATGTTCTTATCCTTTAAAATTTGTTCAAACTTAGTAATTTTTCCATTTATGTTTCAAAAGAACATGTATTCTGTAGTTGTTGGGTGTCCTCTATATGTTCATTAAGTTAAGTTTTGTTGTATCCAAATATTCCACATCCTTTCTAATTTTTTTTGTTGGCCTCTTCTATCAATTGCTGAGAAGTATCTTAAAACCTCTCACTATGATTATGGATTTGTCTAATTCTGTTAGTTTTTACCTTTTATACTTTGACTTTGTTGTTAAATCTGTTGCCATCAAGTCTACTTCAACTGATGATGACTTTCTTATTAGGTGTATACAAATTTATGTCGTATTTTCTTATTATTCAGTTCAAAATATTTTCTAGTTCCCATTTTAATTTCTTCTTTGACCATGAGTTATTTAAATGTGTATTGCTTACTTCCTAAACATCTGTGGCATTTCTGGTTATTTTATTGATACTGATTTGTAACATAATTCCATTAATCACAGCACTTATTCTGTATGATTTAAATATTTTGACACTTTTGAAACTCGCTTTGTGGCACAGTATATACCCAATTTTAGTAAATGTTCCACGTACGTTTTGTAGTTTTGAGGTGCAGTGTTCCATTTATGTCCATTAGGTCAACTTTGCTGACCATGTTGTTAAATTTTCTATCTCTATTGATTTGTTCTGTAAGGTACTAAAAAAGAGATGTGGTTAAAAAGAAAACTCTAACTATGACTGAGGATATAACTACTCCTTTAATTCTGTCAGATTTTGTTTTAAATACTTTGAAACTAATTTATTAGGTACACAGAAATTTAAGCTTGTTAAATAACGTCTCTTTTAATCTCTAGTAATATTTCTAGCCTTACTTTATCTGATAGAGCTACAACAGGTTTCTTTCAGTTAATATTTGCAAAATATATCTTCTATCATTTTATTTTCAACCTTTCTGTGTCATTATAGTCAAGGAATCTTTCATAAGCAGTGTATAGTTGTACATTCTATTATCCACTCTTGACAATCTTTGTATTTTGGTATACGTATTTTAATTGCATTTAGTCCACGCACACAAAATTAAAACCATTTTAACTTATTGGTGAATTAAACCTCTTATCATATCATTATGGTGACCCTTTTTATCTCAGAAATGCTTTTAGCCTAAAACTGATTTTGTGTGATAGCAATACAACTATGCTAACTTTGTTTTGGGTAGTATTTATATGGAAAATCTTTTTCCATCTGTTTACTGTTCCCATCTGCTTACCATCCTTTCAGTATCCTCATAGTTTAGATGTGTCTCTTATAAATAGCAGGGTTAGGTTTTTAATCCAGGTTAACATTCTTTGTCTTTTAACCGGAGCATTTATTCCATTTATATTTAAGGTAACTGACTGATATGTTTGGGTTAAAGCCTACCGTTTTATCTTGGGCTTTCTATTTACCCTATTGTCTGTTTCCTTTTCTTTCCTTTCATACTCTTCCTTTGGATCAACTGAGTGTTTATCACACCAATTTTTCCCTCTAACAGATTTGGTATTAGTTTCCTATTGCTGTTGTAACAAATTACCACAATTTAGTGGACTAAAACAACATAAATGTAATATTTTACAGTTCTGGAGGTTGGAAGTCCTCCAGAAATGGGTTTCACTGAGTTAAAATCAAGTTGTCAGCAGGGCTATGTTCCTTCTGAAAGCTCTAGAGGAGGATCCATTCCTTTGCCTTATCCTGTTTCTAGAAGCCACCTGCATTCTTTGGCTCATGGCCCCTTCTTCCATCTTCAAATTAAGTAGCATAGCATCTTCCTGTCTCTCTCTCAGATCCCTACTTCTGTCATCACATCTCCTTCTCTGATTCTCCTGCCTCCCTCTTTCACTTAAAAGGACTTTGTGATTACATTGGACTACCCTGGGCAATCTATAATCCAGAAAAATTTCCCTATATCAAGATCCTAAACTCAATCACATCTGCAAAGTCCCTTTTGCCATGTGAAGTAACATATTTACAGGTTCCAGGCATTAGGACATGGGCATCTTTGGGAGGTCATTATTCTGCCTACCACAGATATTATTCAGTTAATTTCCTTTTCTTTAAGTAGTTGCCCTGGATATCTTAACACACACACTTAACATGTCAAAATCTAAAGTTAATCTTTTTTTCCTCCTCTTGCACAATAAAAGGATTAAAGACTTTAACTCCACTTACATGCCAACCCTAACCCTAACCCTAACCCTATCATTGCATGTATTTTCAAATTCTATTGTGCTTTAAACCACCAAGACATAATTGTTATTATTTTTGTAAAGTTGGTGTTCATTTAGATACACTACACATATTCACCAATTACTTTCCACTTCATTCCTTCTTGCCCCTCAGACCTTCCACATGAAGATTACTTTCTTTTTGCCTATATCCTTCATCATGTACTTTAATGATGGTGTGACGGTGGAAAACCCTCTCAGTTGTTGTTGGTCTCACCATGTCCCTTATTTTGTCCTTTATGGAAAATTTCAAACATATACAAAAGTAGAGAGAACATAAAATAAACCCACATGGACCTAGCTTCAATAATTATCAAGTCATAGCCAATCTTGTTTCCTTTATATGTCCCCATTGTTAGACAATTTTGAAGAAAATTTAGGATATCGTATCATTTTATCCGTAAATATCTCAGATTGTACCTTTAAAAGACAAGGACTCTCTTTTTTAACGCAATCACGATACCATCATCACACTGACAGAAATTCAGTAATTTCTTAATATCATCAAATATTCTGTCTTTATTCACATTTCTCTAGTTTTTCTATAATTTTTTTTACAGCTCATTTGTTTGACTGGGGTAAAAAAAGGCTTAAATATCTCTTAAATCTATTTTAATGTACAGGTTTTCCTAAAAATATTTTGATACTAAACCAAGCCTTTGTCCCACAGAGTTTATCATAGATTAGATTTTCCTGATTGCATCACCATGGTGTCATTTAGCGCATTCCTCTGTTCTCTATTTTTCAGTAAAATGATAGCTAGATCTATAACTTGATCAAATTCAGGTTTTCAAGTTTGATTTTTTGTCAAGACTACTCTATATGTGGTGCATACATAACATGCAGTGCCTTTGGTTTTATATCAGCAGCCATTGATGATCATGCATCATTCTCATTCTCAAAACATATTTCCTTTGATTACAGAATTCTAAACTACAAGTTATTTTCTTCAGGACAAAAAAAAAATCATATTCTATGTTTTCTGTCTCATCATCAGCTGTCAGTATAACCACTGTTCCTTTGAAGAAAATCTGTCTTTTTGTCTAGGCCACAGAGTTACTTTTATGATCTTCTCTTTGTCTTTGATTTTTTTCATTTAACTATGATGTTTCTGTGTGTGCCCCTTTTGCTTGCTTGAGATTCTCTGAGATTCTTGAATCTGTCAGTTGGTCTTTCCTTAGTACTGAAAATGTCTTAGTCTTTATATCTTTAAATAAATCTTTATATCTTTAAATATTACTTTTGTTTCATTCTCTATCTCTTTTCTTTCAGGAATTCCAATTTGCAAAACTTTCTCACTATAACCTCTCGCTCTGATCACTCTAATTTCCATGTATCTAAAACTCTTTTTTATTTTCCATTTTTGTCTTTGGGCTGTATTCTGAATGATTTAATCTGATCTATCTCTCAGCTCATTAATTCTCTCTTTGGGTATGCCTAATTGCCTAACATATGGTTAAACTCAACAAAAGAGTTATTAGTTTTTATTACTGCATTTTTTTATTAATAACAATTACAGTGTAATTCTTTTTTCAACCAATTCTTTTTTTCAACCAGCTGTGTCACTTTTCAGACTCCTACTCCCTACAAGTATTTTCAAACTTGCATTTTATTTGCTTAAACATTGCTCAGTATAGTTATTTTAATAGTCTATGGCCGATAATTCCAATACCTAAAGCCTTTGTAGGTTTATTTCTAATTGTCTATTGTTTCTGCTGAGTCTTGCTTAGGATGTCTTATTTCCTTGTGCACTTGGTTATCTTTGACAATAAATTACTAACTGACCTTGAAATTTAACTGATAGGACTTTTTTGAAGCCAAAGATGAAAACATACTCCTCCAGAGAATATTTACATTTGTTTACTGGATCATTTTAAATTCATGCTTTTACAAATAATCCAATTACAAAATGGGCAAAGGATTTTAATAGACATGCATCCAAAGAAGAAAGAGTAAATACAAATCAAAACCACAAAATCATACTCACTAACCAGTTGGCATGGAGTCAATTCCAACTCATGGTGACTCCATGCATGTCAAAGTAGAACTGTGCTCCATAGGGTTTTCAATGGTCGATTTTTTGGAAGTAGATCACCAGGCCTTTCTTCTGAGGTGCCTCTGCATGGACTCAAACCTCCAACCTTTCAGTTAGCAGCCAAATGAATTAGCCATTTTAACACCACCAAAGGACTCTTCACACTGACTAGAATGGCTATAATCAAAAAGATAGAAACCAGTGTTGATAAGGATGTGGAAAAATTAGATACATTGCTGGTGTAAATGTAAAAAGTGCATCCACTTTGGAAACAGTTCTGCAGTTCCTCACAAAGTTAAACATAGTTACCATGTAACCTAGGAATTTCACCCCTAGGTATATACCCAAAAGAAATGAAAACATATGTTCACACAAAAACTCGTACACAAATGTTCACAGAAGCATTATTCAGAATAGCCAAAAAGTGGAAACAACTCAAATGTCCATAAACAGATGAAGGGAAAAACAAAATGTGATCTATCCATACAACAGGATATTATTCGACCATATGAAAAAGGAATGAAGTATTTCATGATACATGCCATAACATGGATGAACCTTGAAAATATTATGCTAACTGAAAGAATCCAGTCACAAAGTACTACATATTATATGATTCCATTTATTTGAAATGTCCAAAACAGGCAAATCCATAGAAACAGAAAGTAGATGAGTGTTTGCCAGGAGCTGGGGGTAAGAGGGAAATGGGGAGTGACTGCTAATGAGCAAGAGATCTCTTTTTGGAGTGATAAAAATGCTTTGGAGAGCGGTGACAGTTGCACAACTTTGTGAATATACTGAAATGTGGTTAAAGCCATTGGCTGCTAACCAAAGGTCTGTGGTTCGAACCCACCAGCTATTCTGTGGGAGAAAGATGTGGCACTCTGCTTCCGCAGAGATTTACAGCCTTGGAAACCCTATAGGTTCGCTATGAGTCAGAGCTGACTTGATGGCAGTGGGTCTGGTTTGGTTTTTGGTATTCTTTAAAGGAAAAATTTTATAAAATTCATATAAATTATATCAAAAAAAAAAAACGAAAAAACATACTGACATCTTGAAATTTTTTGAGACTACCAAGGTGATGTGGCTTCCCCACATGGTCTGTTTGGTGGTTACAACTTCCCAAGAACAGGCTTTTTTTCCTGTTTTATTTGGCATCAAGGCAACTTTCCTTGCAGATCTGTGAAGGCAGAGTTAGTTTCATTCCTACCATGACATCACAGCCCTTGGGGATCCCAGAAAGTCTCCTGTTAGTTTACCTTGAATGAGCCCTGGGCTGACTTCCATCTATCCCTCTCATCCTGCAAATCCAATAAAACTATAGCCCAAATTCCCCTGCTTTAGCAAATACCCTCAGCGCAAATAAAACTTAGGGAGGGCTCCTGTGGCCTCTTGGATTTTCAGCTTTCTCTTTGATTTTGGCACATGAATTCCTAACTATCTTTTTGAATTTTTTTTAAAAGACAGCATTCTTAACTGTTATTAGTGTGAAGGTTATTCCAAATGCCTCCTGTTACTATATTCTCAAAATGAAAATCCTGTATTCACTTTTCAAGTTCAAATTAACTCTAGTAAGTTAGGACAAGATCTGCAAATGCTAAATACAGCCTGACATAGTCTACATTAGAGTAGCTTCAGTGTTAATTGTGACCTCAGGTGATTATAGTGACATTTAAGAATTAAGTAACATTTATATGCCAATTAAAGTTCACCTTAAAAATGTTTCAGTTAAACATTAATTTGAGGGAGAATTTAAGCTTTAAAAGAAACATAGGTAGGAGACTTGTTCTATCAGATATTACAGTTCTTTACACAGCTAAAGTAAATAAGATTGCTTGCAAAGATATACAAACAAACCAAAGAAAGAATACTCAGAAACGTATCCATACATATATGGAAGCTTGACATATGGCAGAGACTAAGAGATCACTGGGAGAAAGAACAGAATATTCAATAAATGATGCTGGGAAAAACTGATTACTCATATGGAAAAAAATGAAATTGGACCTCCACTTCACAGAAAAATCAATTCCACATGGATTAAGGACATAAATATGAAAGGCAACATTTTAAAACTATCAGAAGAAAATATTAGACTATAACTTTATGACCTTGAGGAAAGATTTGATA